AGTGGCGTTCTTGTTGTCAGTTTCTGTCCAGATTGCGTGAATGAATGTCTGGAGGTGTAGGCACCTCGGAATGATTGTGTTAAGCTAGCACTAAGTCCCTCCCCCATCCACCTTTATTCTTTTCTTTACAATAAAGCTTTCAAATAAGTCATGGTTGTACGGCAGTGAAGCATCGGTGTTGGACACTGATGTCATGCTGTCAATGATGATGATAGCGGCTACCATAGATCTTAGTCAACATCATAAAATCAGTGTTCATCACCGATGCTTCACTGTCATACAACCATGATTTATTTTAAAGCCTTAGTGTGAGGAAAAATGAAAGTAGGTTGGAAAGGGACTTAGTGCTCACCTACTACAACCAATCAGGGTTGCTTACACTCGCAGATACTCATTCAAGCAATCTGGATAGAAACTGGCAACAAGAATGCCATTGGAATCGATTAGCAGCCACATCTTGAAGCGTCACCAACCAGGCGCAGTGGGGATTAAGTGGCCCCCAACCTGGAAGGCGAGTTGCACCATCATAATCTATTTGACATCCCTCTGCCAGCTGAAAGTTCGGCCACCTCTCTGCTTCCACCACTCTAAATTGGACACAAACAGCAGCACTCTCTTCGGCATACGCAATACGTTGCCTAACCAACGCAGGTTAGGTGCTGAACACATTTTTCAATGAAATTTCCCACTGCACAACTGAAAACTCGCTTCCTTAATGCCCGGTTAGGGATTCTCCGACACGAACCCACACAAACTACGTCGAACACCCGATACGCGATCTGGGCCCAGATCTCGACAGGTGGTCCCTCAAACATAGTGGTTTTGTCTCAAAAGCCTAAACACAAGGCAGCAAGTGACCCCACATTTTCCTATCGTCCTCCCCTCCCCAACGCATAGAGTTAGTAGAGTAGTTGGTCAAGCTTGTAGAGGCTCTGTGAGTGTCACACAGACACACACATTCTTCTCAGTATATTGCTCAGTGGGTCACTTAGGTGCCGAAGCCGGCGGCAATATGGTATGAGTGGATGGATTGCCTAACATGCAAGTCATGCTGTCCTGTTTTGTGCTGTCTCTCGCTTAGTCTTGTAAAAATGTGGCCTACGTTCAGACTCTTACAGGATGGAACTAACATCAATTTGGTCTTTTGTGTCCATTCCGTTGATGGGAGAACTACTCCACTGAAAGAGACTCAAACAATGTAGGTGCAATGTCGTCGAGATGTTCCGGAGATTGGCAGTAGTTCTGTGGCACCTCAGTCCAATTATCCTTGTTAAACAATGTACTTTTCAAAAAAAGCGACAGAAGTGTGAGGTAAACAGCACCTTGTGGACTCAAACTACGCTCTTATGTTCTCTAGGGGATTTGCGTTCTTCAACTGTTGGCCACTCCCAACAATATCCAGTCCGTTCGGCCCTCTGAATCTGGTTTCGGACTCGTTTTGGGCCTCATTTTACCGGTAGTCCAACAGTTGCTTGGAATATTCCTCACAACTCTTATCCACTTTCCATCACGGCCATGAATACTACCGTGCATAGCAAAGTAACGGAAATTGGGAACCCCGGAAGTGGTCTCATCTGCCTTTCTCTTTATCCTCTGATGTTGGCTTGAAATTAGCCAACTCTGGTAGGCAACCAATCAGCTGTTCTCAGCACCCGCTTTCGCCCATTTTTGGTTTAGTGGGAACCTAGTCTTCGCGAGGAAGCAGTACCTGATAACAGATAACTTTGGGTTATTTTAGTAGAGCATGAGGAATCAATTTACGTGTTTTTCAGAACACCTGTGTTCGACCATCCCAAAGCGCTTTCAGGCATGTGTTGGCAGACACAGGACTAGATGTCCGACTGGGTTACCGCAGATAGTCCGTAGGCGGTCATTACATTGTCCCCTACGGAGCCATGAGCTCATTTCGTCGACAAGTGTTAGTGAACCTTGTGTAGTTCATCACAATGGAGGTTTTCACGACTTTTTTTTATTTGTGGGACCACCTTGCTTATCTCACAGATGACAACACGAAGACTTGTGGGTGTCAAGTCTTTCCTTGAAGTCTATCCCGTTCACCTCAACAGCTGCAGAGCACACACTTTTCTCCTCTCGTTTATGCTCATTTCTTTTGTTCGATTTATCCAACAGCACAAGAACCCTCATCTTTTTGAAGTGCGCATCTGTTTCAAGCCCGACCTCACCCTGACCGATTGTATGGGACATACACAATGTCTTGCCTCCTCCACAGGTGACACCGATGTATGTGCCAGTAACCCTCGAGACCAGGTTGGCGGCTCACTGGGTGCTGCACAAGGCTATTCCGCAATGCCGTGTCCCCCCGGGCCAGTTGTCTTTCCCTCCTTGTAGAACATTGTGTACCTGGCAGCAACTTGTTTATTCCCTGCCATGGCCTCCCTCCTATTGTCGAAATGTTCTCCCCATTATCATTCTATTTTTAGATGCACCCTTTCTGTCTACCGATTGCTGTATCTTTAATGCTCTGCATGTACTTTTTCCCCGACTTTCGTAAAATGTTCTCCTGGTATATCAAATTCTTTACTTGCATTGAAATTTGGTTTTTGGTGGTGGTTTTGGTGTTAGGAATCTTGCTTTCCAGAGTTTTCTGGAGTTTACTTGTCCCTGCGGAGGTAAGGTGGCAGATAGGGACTTCTGCAGCTCTGATTTGTTTTAGGGTTCAAATGTGGTCTCTCCCTCAAGTAGTATGACATTCGCCTTGTAGTCAAATGTCAAATCCCAGGTAACCGTGGTTTTTTATTCACCCGAGGTTATGGGCTCACTATTTTACTCGAAGCTGTAACTCTGAAACTGGAGAGCACCTTGATACAGTCTGAGACCAGTCTAAATCACAAAATTTCGTAAAAAAGCACCATTGTTGTAACTGGTCTGCTGTTAGTAATTGTATCGTGGAGTCGTGGTCAAACCGTTCAGCTGTAGCACCCTTTCGGTGCAATGCGCAGCTACCCACCCATCCCCCCCAAATCATCGGTGAACGAAACTGCGGCAGCTACAACCACTGTACGATGAGTACGCGGTTATTACAGCTGACAATGATGATTACGATTACCCTTTCGGTGCCTAACTGCCGTGCCACCGGAGGGAGCCACGAGGGCTGGGATGCTGCCAGGTTGCCCAAGCCTAGACAGGGGAAGTCGAGTGGCAGAGGTCGGGTTCGAACCACGGACCTTCCGGTCAGTAAATTTGCGCTCTAACCACTGAGCCATCTCGTCGTGGTCAAGCCCAGACAAAAAGTAAATCATGTTTGTTTTCCAATATCGTCATTGAGACCGTTACTGTGATACCTCAGCGATAACGCTCCCTCGAAGTTTAATAATTATGCTTACATTGTGATGAGCTGCCGTTAAGTTCTCATCACCTGTCGCTTTTGAAGTGAAACTAACGATGGTTTGTCCATTTACCTTATGTTTCTGCGCCGAATTACATTTATGCCCTGAAGCCTAGTCGCAGTTCCACCTGAAACGTGACTTGTCAAGAGCACATGTGTGTACAGTGCACTTCCTCTGTACTCTTCTAACCCGATGTGGTGTTGTTCGTATGATACACCACAGGAAGTCAATCTTAGTGACAGAATAAGTAATCAGATACGTTTGTCCGACCTTAGAATGCGAAACCCGCTTTGATTTGTTCCAGTTAGTGCCTACCAGGGTTAGTCATCTGACGTTCGACAATCAGGTTCTTCCTCGAAGCAGATTATAGTCGCACCTGGAGCTCTCTGCCCGAACGTTTCGAATAGCAACGCCATTTGGCACTCTATTACATCTCATGTATCGGGTTAATTTTCACCAGCAACGCGCGTCAGAAAAATTTCCCACTTCGTCAAGGACCGTTTGTTAACTCATCAAAGTGAGTAGAAACCTCGTGCTCAACCATGGGACAGGCACTCTACATTTAACAAGTTGGAAAGTCTGAATTACCTGCAGTAATCGCTGTTTTCTTCAAGTTATTCATTCATGCGGCTTTTGTGTAGGGCAGTGTCCTGTTCTAAGTCCACTGTGATACCAGTTTTCATGAATAAGACAACATGTCCTCTCCTCGGGGGTCAGCCTGTACCAGCTTACCTGGCGTACATTGGTTTGTCCCTATTGATGAAACCAGTCATGACGGTACGACTGTATAGCTGCATGGGGAAAAAATAAGGAACATTTTGAACCTCGCACATGCAACCGGGGCGAATGAGATTGGTGGACAGCGAGTTCGGTAGGGCTACAGTGAGTGCACACCCTGAGGGGGTCAAAAAGCCTGCATCTCCCCAACTATCGGTCGAAAGTTGTGCGCTGTGGAACCAAAAAGTTGTTGCCCAATTTCTTCCAATGAGTGCTCGATTTTAGCCACATGATCACTCGTAATTCAGTTCGGTAGGGCTACAGTGAGTGCACACCTTGAGGGGGTCAATAAGCCTGCAGCTCCCCAACTATCGGTCAAAAGTTGTGCGCTGTGGAACCAAAAAGTTACTGTCCGATTTCTTCCAATGAATGCTCGATTTTAGCCACATGATCACTCGCAATTTGTTAAAGTTGGGGGTGGTACTCGTTAGGGCTTCGACGTGTGGTTACTCATCGTCATCGTAGAATATGGTAATTCCAGTTATCTGACAACAACTGTTCTCGCGAAGTACACTTATTCGCGCACCATTTTGGTTTCGATGCGAGTCCCAGCTGAAACTCAGTTGACATGATATTCAACCGAATGTGCTGTGCGAAGTCAGCATCCTGTTTCAGGATTCCTAGTATCACAGAGTAATCACCGTAGAATGTGGTAATCCCAGTTATCTGACAACAACTGTTCTCGCGAAGTACACTTATTTGCACACCATTTTGGTTTTAATGTGAGTCCCAGCTGAATCTCAGTTGATATGATATTCAACCGAATGTGTCAGCATCTTGTTTCAGTTGACACCGTAATCCGGGTATCACAGAGTACTTTCTTGACCTAGGCATTACTCTTACGGTTACTGAAGACCATTCTATGAGTTTTCAGCAGCTCACGTCTAATTTACTATCGTGGGGCCGTTTTCCTATTCTACCGAATTAGACAGATGCAAATACGTCACTCAGAGCCATCTTTACTCGATATAAGACCACCGGCACGCGAGTGTCGGACAGCCCGAGAATGGGGAAACGCATCATAACCAAGTCGAGCATTGACAGATTCACTCCTTTGCATACCAGTTTAGTTTTCTCGTAAGACTCACTTAAAACCCACCTGAATCTCTCGTTTACAAGGTGTGTAAGCCGAGTTTCGTGCAAGTAGAACCAAGGAGGGCCAAACCGGTCGTGGGCTAAAAGCTTTCAGCAACCTTGTGAGTAGTAGGTTATGTCCACGCGATCGGACAGCTTTGTAGGCAGAAGAACGACTATGAATGTGGCTCTGTTTACGAAGTAGTCCTGGCCGTTTTTTTTGGGGGGGGGGGGTTCATCTGGAC